CCAGCCGCGAGGGTCTGGCTACGATGCAACTCCGCGCCCTCGCATGGTTTTGCAAAACCGCTGGCCTGCCCAAGCTCCAGGTCTGCCTCTGTACACCCATCTGTCAGGCGTTCTCGGTTGCCTCGCATCCGGCTGAGCACCGCGAGAGCCTGCCCCTGAGCCTTAGTTTTGTCCTTTATTTGGAAAAGTGTATCCTGGACCCGCACTCTTCCCATGCCGAGATCCTCCGAATCGGGTACCTCCTGCTCTGCGTCTGGAGTTCTTTACGCTGGGGCGATGCCCTCTGGTGTCCGCCCACTCGCTTACACTATCAACCCCAGTCGCATGCTCTGGTGGGTATCTGTCTCCGGACTAAGACCACCAAGCGTGGCATGCCTTTTTTGGCATTTTAGCGGCAGGGCAAACACAGTGCTGGTCCCTCCGCTTCCTCAGCGTTTTACGCCAAGCTGTTGCTGACACTCTGGCGCTTAACCCCCAACGCCACCTTGACTTTCTGCCTTCATCATTATCCGGCTCTGAAACACGGCCGATCATTTCCGCGCCTCTCAAACGTGAGCGCATGGTGCTCTGGCTGCGTGGTCTGTTGCTGAAGCACTGGCGTCTGCTCAGCCAGGATCCGGCTCCTGCGGCATTTGGTCTGGTTGCTGCCCACTCTCTGAAGTGCACCTTGCTCTCCTGGGCCAGACAGCTGCATCTGGATTCCGATCCGCGGCGGGTCCAGGGACACCATGGTCAGTCTGGGTCCGACCGTTCGGTTTCTCTTTACAGCCGGGATGACATCCTACCCATGCTGCGTCTGCAAATTAAGACTGGTGGTAGATGCTGTCCGCTCGGGCTTTCGACCGCTCCAGCCGATGGCTCGGGGTCTGTCGGAACCGTTGCCGGATTTTCCGGTGACTCTCCCTTCTTCTGCATCGCTTCCGGAGCTGGGTCCGCTATCCGACGACTGCTTACCGGAAGCTCTACCCTCTCGCCCTTGCCTCCCTGTCGCATCCTCTCCGCAGGGTGACGTTGCTGGGGCGACGGATGTGGATGCCGCGCTGGAGTCTCTTTCCTCCGAATCGTCAGAGTCGTCGGCTGACGAGGCTCCGATGCAGGATGCCCCAACTGCACCGTCTGCTCCTAAAGCCACTGCTCCGCCTCCATCGGCCTCAGTTTCTGCCTTCGGCTTCCTCTGGAACGCTCGCAGCAACGTTGTTCACGTGGCCATGCAGACTGAGTCGTCGGCGCTCCGCTCCAAGTCTTATGAAGTGGATGCATGGCTCCACCGTCTGGCTTCGCCCACTGTGTGGCGCCCGCACTCACCAGCTGGACTCGGACAGCTTTTTCGCCAAGGCGCCGGCTGACGCCATCTTCTGCACCCGCACCAGTTGCTTTGCACGCTGGCCCGCATAATGGCAGAAAGGGTTTGTGCAGTTCCTGCGTTTGTTGCTGCAAACCTTGCTGCCTTGACCCCTCTGCCCTCTCCCCTTTCTTTCCCGCAGCCGTTTTGCTCGGTTCACCCTGCGTTCTTCGCCTTCCTTGCCGCTTTCAGGTCATGGCGGACCAGGGGAATCACGAGATTCCGGCAGCTTTTTTCCTCACAGAGGAAGAGGAAGGGGCGCTGGTTGCTGCCTTGTCGTCAGCCGACGCGGCCCCAGCTGCCTCCGGGTCCGCAATGTCGGAGACCTTGCCGTCTCCGGGCGGCGCTTGGACCTTGCCAGACCCGGCCCTCACTGACACCACACCGCCGGTCGCGGGTCCTGACTCCGGTTCCGGTTCTTCCTCCGGGGGCTCCACCTGGAGATTACCATGCTCCCCAGTCATCTTCTGGGAGCCAGTGGTCCGGCTACGGGAATTTTTCCCCCGTTCCCGTGCCCTCGGTTCTGGTTCGTCCGGGTGTTTCTGACGGTCAGCTACTTGATGGGCTGTCTCTCCTGTCCCCGGATGTCCGCCACCGCCTGCTCTCCATTCTTCACAGTCAGGTTGGCCAGGGCCGGGCGCTGCTGGCAACGCCGCCCGGCCCCCCGCCCGACCCACAGCCCGCAACGCAGTGCCGGATCCGGCTCCGAAAACGTCGCGCGTTTCCGGTGTCGGGTTCCCGGCTGTGACCGGATCTGTGGTCGTCCTCTGACGCCACGCGGCCACCGGAACCACGTGTGCCACCGCTGCCACCGCCGCCGCTAGGACTGTGAGCCGGTTCGCCTGCGGCCCTCGGTTCTATAAAAGCGGCCGGCGGCTGGGTGCACCGTTCTTGCTGCGAATGTCATGCATCTGTGTTCTGGTTGTTCCACTGAGGTTCGCACTTCTTGCATGCCGCAGCCGTTTCTTTTAACTCAAATCAAGCTCCTCGCTGCCTCGCGCCTGCCCAGCATGTCTGTCCGACCTCGGTTGGACGATCCGGCGGCACTGGTGGCTTTGCTTGACCAGCTCTCAGCCTTCCCAGCTGTCCGCACTGCCCTTTCCAATAAAGGCTTTGCGTCACTGGGGTCACTGGCCTTTGCCGTGTCCGACCCGTCGGACGCGGATGAGGTTCGTCTTTTTGTCCGCTCGACGCTGTCATTGGCTGACACGGACGACGCAGCGTTGGTCTCTGCGGACTCTTCCTGCATTCGCAGGTTACTGTTTGAAGCTTCTTCTGCGGCTCCGCCCAAGCCTGCCCTTGGCTCCTCCGCTCCGCCTCCTGCGCCAACTGCGTCTGCGTCGGCCTCCAAGATCGCAGCAGTTCCTGAGTTCCTGACCTCTTGCACTTGCGCAAGACTTTTCTTGCCAAGTACCCGGGCGAGCTCCTTACTCCTGACTCTGCCCCGTCTGTGGATTTTCTGTCTCTGCTCAAGAATCATCACGATTCACAGCAGTCCCTCATGGGTCCCGTGGCGCCTGCGTACATCTGAATCTGATGCCACGCGCTGGGAAGAAGCACGACGCCCTCGCAATGATCGCCAGCTCCTCCGCTCCCTTTTGGACGTGGATGCCGAGCCAGCGTCTGCATCTGTGAACCTCAACCTGCAAGGCCCACCTGACCCAGTGTTGCGCCGTTCTCTGAGCCTGTTCGCCACAGCCTTGGCCATGCTGGACCTGGTTCATCTGGCCACTATCAAGAAATTCAATGACAGGTTCTTGCACCTGTCACTGACACCGCCTATATGGACACATCGCTCCGCGGCCCTTCACTCCAGGAGATTGTCCTGGCAGACCGGTCCGTCTGGGCCTCTGTGTCCGAGCTCATTCGAGAGCCTTTCCGATTCTCTCAACTTGCCTTCTGCCGTGGAGAAATGGCCAATCTTCTCCAGGCCAGGCCACGCCCTCCCAAACCCCCACCCGGTCCGTCCGGTGGCGGAAAGGGAGACCGGAAAAGGCTCCTAAACGCCGATGCGCCCGGCTCTGCTTCCGATCCGCCTATCATTCTGGTAAGGGCGACTCTCCGGCTAAGCCCAAGCGCAAAGCCAAAGCCAAGGCCACTGCCAACCCGCCTCCCAAGGGGTTCGACCCCTCCTGGTTCCGGACTATTAACGGGAAAGAAGTATGTATGCGGTTCGCGGTCGGGAAATGCACGAAAGAGGACTGCCGGTTCTTCCATGGCTGCCTGTCCCGCTTCCCAACGGCAAGGCCTGTGGCCAGCCGCACACTGCTCTAGATCATGGCAAGACCCCACACTGAACCGTTTCAGTTCCTGCTGCTGCTGCTCCGCCACCGAAGCCGCCTGAACCTGCGGGCTCTTTGCCCCCGGTTCCGAATCTGCCGGCTAGATCGCCTGGCCTGGCGATTCCTCCGCCGCCCGCTGTGGCTATGGCGGCCCCGTTCCCGGTGGTCACGGAAGCCGTGCCCGTTTCGGCGGCCGCCGTCCAGCGCAAGGCACTCTCACCAGCCATCACCGGCGCTACACATTCTTTCTTGACTTGTTTGCCGGTGCCTCTTCCCCAGTCTCCCAGGCCGTTGCGTTTTTGGGACTGGCCCGTCTGGAACCTGTGGACCTGCTGGTCGGTCCGTCACATGACCTTCTTCACGACTCCACCTTCCAGAATCTGCAGCGGTTATGTTCCTCTGGCCTGGTAGGTGCTGCAGCTGCTGCCCCCCCGTACGTGTTCTGCGTTCTCTCGTGCCAGACTCCGCCCGGGGGGCCCGCCTCCTGTTCGCACACCCTTGCACCCCACCGGCATTCCACATCCTTCACCGTCTCAGGCTACGGAACTGGAGAAGTCCGCGCTGCTTCATTCACGCACGCGTCACTTACTGCATCTGGTGGCTTGTCGCGGCGGCCTCATCTGGTTAGAAAACCCGTCTTCCAGTTTGCTTTGGCTCGACCCTGAGGTAACCGCCTGGTGCCGTCTCACGGCCCCATTTATGGCCACCGTTGCAGCCTGCCAGGTGGGCCTTCAGCTGCACAAATCCTGGTCCTTCTGCTGCAACGATGCGTCCGTCTCCAAGCTGGCTTCCGTGTGTCCGCATCCGGTTGGGTTTCATCCGGCTGTATCCGGGAAGAGGGCTCCAGATGGCTCCTTTCTCACGCGGACCACTGCAGCATACCCTTCATCCCTGGCACAGTCCCTGGCAGAACTTGCTTCCCCTTGGCTGTCCAAGGATACCTCGGATACCACTCCGGTTGCTTTAGCTTCTTGGCATTCACTGCTTCCCACCCGGCTGCCTTGGCCGCTTTTAAAGCACCGGGTGGAAGATGGTGCGGGTACTTGCAGCACTGCCCGTCCTGACCCTGCCAAGTTGTCTGACCCCTTCCGCAATCTGCGCACTGCGTGGTCTCGCCGTTTTCTCCAGGGTGGTCTTGCGGCACGCTTTGCTACCGCTCTCAACTCCGGAAGCCGCGAACCTCCGCTGTCTGAATCCGAGCTGGAAGCTTTCCTGTCGGATTTGCGCAGTTTCTTGGGGATCACCGACGAGGCTGCTTGGCATCGCCTTCTATCGGTGCAGCCAGGGCAGCCTTTTCGCCTTAATTGAGCTCTGGCATCGCCTGTGCGTGGCATGTTCTGACCCCGACACCGAGAATTTTGACCTCCAACGGGAAGGAGTCCGCCTGGGGATTTCGTCGCCCATCCCACCTTGCAAGGTGATGGCACCTCCGGCCCCGCCCGACTCTGCCACCATCCCCCTGCAGCATTGTGAATCATCTTGGAAGTCGGCCATTGACCACTCTGAGAGATTTGCTGCAGGAGGAGCTGGCTCAGGGCTGGATTGCGATTGTACCGGGGGGCGATGATCAGCTCCGCAGGGAGTATTCCGTCTCCGCTGTAGGGAAACTGGGGGTGGTCCTTGCGGAGGGCCGCCCCCCGCGCTTAGTGGTGGACTCTTCTGTCTCTGGTGTGACGTGCCACACGGCTCTGCCCAACCGGTCCTGTAACCCTACACTTACAGACGTCTTTTCGTCCATGCCATTGTCTGACTCACTGGAACGTCTTGTCGCTCTGGTTCTGGATGTTGCCAAAGCTCACCGCCGCATTCTGATTCGCAAACAGGACCGTGGCCTTCTCTGTTTTCGCCACAAGAATGTGCTGTACCAGTGCACTACCTTAAACTTCGGCGCTCGCGTCTCCAGTTTTTTCTGGGCCCGCGCCGCGGGATTACTGGTGAGACTAATCCATCGTCTTCTCCGTGTCCGTCATTCTGCCAAAATATATGTTGATGACCTCCTCTGCCTCCTTGATTCCGCTTCCGCACCCGTCTGGGCTTCACACGTTGTGGTGTTACTCCTGCTCCTGCGGGTCCCCCTATCTTTCCGCACGGGTGGTCTGGATTGGCTGGGAAATCGACCTGGCCGTCTTTACCGTCCGTCTGGGCCCCCAAAAGTTCAAAAGACTGTGCGACCTTCTTCGCCAAGCCCTTTCTTCCCGTCGCTGCTCGACGCACCTTCTGGAACGCATCACCGGAAAGCTTCTCTGGTTATCGTCCCTTTTCAGGACTTTCCGCCCGTCGCTGGCCCCCCTTTACAGCGACCAGCATGCATTCCTGCCCACCATGACGGCTCTGGATCCGCAGCGTTGGAGCGATTTCCGCTCCAAGCTCTCTCCGGACCTCCGCCTATTGCATCATATAGGCTTGGCTGCACTGCCGCCCGGGTCGCGTATTTTGCGTATCGGGCAGACTTACGTCTGTTCTCTGGACGAGCTTCCTCCCTTGCCCGTGGACTCCCGTCGCATTTGGATTCAGTCGGCAGCGCCGCACACCGGCATCTGCATCCTGTCTGAGGAATCCTGTCTCGTCCTGCGCCTCTGGCTTGACTTGGCTGCTTCCGGCACCGCTTGCCGTTCTCTTATCCGGCCTCCACGAATTGAGTGTGAAGCTTTGCAGACGCCTGCGCCACCTCGGCCACTGCGGGACTTGGGGGCTTTGTTCGACTGTCAGATGGACGCCAACTCTTTTTCCGGAATACGTTCCGCTTGGCCGAACTGCAAGGAATGTTTCCGTGGCTCCCATCGCAAGCATCGGTGCAGAGTTACATCTCGTCTTGGGAGCTGCTCGCTCAATGCGCACTTGTGCACCTCCTACACCTGCTTCTGGGTCCGGGACACCGCCCTGTTCACTGCATTTTCCGCTGCGACAACGCTGCTGCGGAATCCAGCAGCTGGAAAGGACTCTCTATGGCCTCCGGCCTGTGTTCTATTTTACGGTCCTTCTTCTTATTCCAGCAACGTTGCCGCATTTCTGTACACATCGACCACGTTCCTGGCATCGTGAACGATGTGGCGGATGCACTTTGCCGTTCCACTGACCCGGCTCATTTGGGCTTTAAACCGCAGGAGGAGGTGCACATCGACTGGTTGGCCTTCTGCGATTGGCCACAGCTTAGCCTGTTTCCGGACCCCGCACATTTTGAGGGGCTCCTAACATTAGGTTCGAGGCCTTCGCCTTGATTTCTTTCCATTGGCCCGTCCCACGGCTGTGGTCAAGCTGCAGCTCGAACTATCTTTGGATTTCCGGGCCAATTCCGAAGTATGCGGTTTTCCGGTCTGGTCCGGTCCGGTCCGCCGTTCCGCGGCCGCGGCCGGCACTGACCAGACCGACTTCTGCCATCGGACCAAAAGGATTTGCGTCCGACTGCTTCTGGTACCGGACTAGTGCTGGGTGAACGATTCCGAGCTTTGATTGGGTTTGTTTGGCCAGCCCGCAACGGAACCGTGTCTGACACCGCAGCTGCGGGCTCAGACGGTGCCGGTTCCGTTCTGGTCCCGGTACCGAAGCTTTGAAGTACCCGCCGCCTCCCCGGCTTCCGCCTTTTCTATCCGTTTTCTTCGTCTTGCCCGGTATCACTGACCATTTTGTCTGCTATTTGCTGGACTTCTGGCTGGATTTCCGGGCCAATTCCGAAGTATGCGGTTTTCCGGTCTGGTCCGGTCCGGTCCGCCGTTCCGCGGCCGCGGCCGGCACTGACCAGACCGACTTCTGCCATCGGACCAAAAGGATTTGCGTCCGACTGCTTCTGGTACCGGACTAGTGCTGGGTGAACTTTCATGTATGTGCAAGAAATCCAGCAGTGCACCAATTATCAACGGTCCCTTCTTTGAGTCTTTGAATATTGTTGTGAACACCTGAACACTATTTACATTCATATCACTCATCACACTGGGGATGCGTCAAAAGAGCTGGAAAAGAGAACATGCGTTGGTGCGTAAAGCAGGAACATGAGGTTGTTTACGCACCTCTGCGGAGTTTTGCATCTCATGCTCTGACCGCGGCTCTTGCAGACGATCGCAGTGGCAATCATTGGCGATCTGCAAGTTTAAATCCAACATCAGCGTTCACGGACTTGGCGTTCTCAGTTGAAGTTCTATCGAAAAGCACATGTTGGGGAGAGTCAGCCGGCATGCCATGGGCCAACGGGTCCCTGGAGCTTCACGTGAGTCAGAATTCAATCCTGGAGGCGATCGATTACCCGCCGCTCCTCGATGAGTTCTCGCGAACATTGGCAGCGCCGTATGGTGAGGAGCTGCTGAGAACCTAGGTGAGGAAGATTGTAGAGTCTGTCGATCTAGCCGGCTTTGCCAGTTGCTTCAGTTCTCGTTTGTGTCTTCATGCTTTTGGTGATGTAGCTGACGTCCAGCATACATGGGCAAAGCGTTTGTGATGTGGGGTCCAGCTTCTTTGTGCGTAGAATGCCAGAACTGGAGTTCGGGGTACCACATCTGCTTCGGCAACGTCGGTCAAGCCCGCTGTCCTGTAAAGCCGAAGGACCTCCAGCATGGGAGCAGCTCTGGAAGCCCCCGTGCTGAATTTACAAATGCTGGAGGGTACAAGCTCCCCAGTGATTGAAGGGGCAAATCTTGGAATATGGCCAGGCCCGCATCAGGCCTATGGAGAACTTCCAGCCAACAGTCGGAAGCTGGCATACTGTTGATGATGTCGGGTTTTATGGGATCTCCTTCCCCTTGCAACGCTGTGTGTTGAGAGCTAGGGGGTTGGACGGCTCAGCGTGCAGTAGCTCTCGTGCTTCATCTGGCAGTCAAAAGCTCCAAGCGTCCGAACCTGTGGCTGTGGTGCTTACGGCCCCTCGCCCCACTGATCGGTGGATCCTGCTGCTCCCAGGAATAGCGTCGCACCTTTCGCCTTTGGCCGGGATGTTAGCCGCGTGCTCAACTCGTTAGACAGCGGACGTGTATCAGCGAAGTTTCGGGTTTCGGCTCGCGAGGCTATCGCATTGGAGGCTTTGGGGTTTGGCGTCCCGTGCACATGCTTTACTCGTCTTGGTTTTCGACACTTCCTTGAGAACCGAACCCAGCATTTCTTTCCAGTTCCAGGGTGCAGGACGTTCGGGCACCTGTCATCTGAGTACAGTACATAGTAGCTAGCCCACAAGTTTCAACAACAACTCGTCCTTGAATCAAAGCCAAGCGCAAGGTCTGGAGCCATGAGGCCAAGTGTTTAAAGTGGCGTGTCAAGAAGCTTCCAAAGAAGGACAGCAAGGGCAGCGACCTTAGTGACGGAGGAAGGCATGTCTCGGGTTTCTAGATGAGACCACTTGGGAGAAGACTGTACAACACACGTTTGGCCGAGATCTGTTAGACTGAGGTCTTGGTATGGTGACTTTAACCCTGGTCTTTGATGTGTATTATCAGATGAGCACCATCGCGCGATTGAGTGTTGCATGTCCGGTGGAATCTTTCGGCCGGAGTGTGCAGAGATGGGTTCCTCATGCGGTCTTTTTCCCGCGATCCCGGAAACTCGTTCCTGCAGGAAGTCTCGTCTCGAGTCTTGAATGTGTTGCAGCCCCGCATTTTTCTAGTTGGCTGCACCCCTAAGCCCTGCACTTGCACGCTGAAGCCATGCTTATTTGGGCTGCTTGGGGATCAGAGTGTTTTGACAATCTGGAGTGTTTTGAGCTGAGGATAGGTATTACGAAAAGTGATCTGTTGGCTTAGAAATCACTCTCCGAGGTCAGAATCCCGAGTTTGCACCTTCGGACGTCCTGGAGCGAACGTTTGAGAACAGTCAGATACTTCCAGGTGCAGCCCTAGGATGGAGACGTCAGATGCCAGATGTGGTGCTAGCTTGTAGTTGCCGTGACAGACCCAAATCCAACCCTGAACTCAAGCCGGCCTTTCTCGGGACGGCACGGCCATTCCTGTGCTCCGGACACACTTCGCTGCATGTGTTTTCAACCCCGTTTACCTTTGCAGACTCTGATATGTTTTGCGAGGCTCCCCCCTCGACTTGGAGCTGAAGGAGGCGGTCCTCTCGAGGCTCGGCTTCGGCTGTAATTAGCGTGTAAGTGGAGGAATCTCGGGGAGTAAGGCCTGGAGGAAGGCACGAATGTTAGAATGCGTTGCGGTTGCCCGGCTTGAGTTGGCCAGTTGTTTCGCTGTCTGGGGACTGACGTTAGTCAACGTTGTCGGATGTAACTGCCTTTGGTCATCTCCAGGCTCGTTAGATTTGTGCCGCTAAGAGATTCGAATGACCATGCAAGCGCCAGAGGTGGCCAGATACAGCAGTGGCAAGCGATAATGCTAAGGATGCACAGGACAACTGGGTAACCCATAAGCTTGCAGATGCTTGCATTGACATGCATCGACCAGATCCGAAGACCTTCGATGATTCCCGTCTGTGAAGGCGTGTCTTCTATGGCACGCTGCTTCGATACAACTACTACATTGCGGCTCGGTCGACTCATGGGGCAGAGCCCGTTCTTGTGGGGATACGCCACCTCTTGTTTCGGTTCTGTCCGACAGATTCCGACGCGATTTATATGTAGCATGATCGGCACCAACCACAACAGCCCGTGGTTTCAGGAAGATGGGATTGCCGACAGCGCCGTGGCGCCCATCAACCCGGAGTGGGTGGAAAACGTAGGCTCCCGTTGAACCATATCACACGCACACGGGTCGCGGTTGTTAATTAATTATGCAGAGGGCCTCCAGCTGCAGCCGGGGGCAAGAATTTCGGAAAAGGAGTGCGTCATAAACGTGGTGTCTCTGCGAAGGAATGAGGTCAGGAAACATACGGCAAGTGTCGTTGGGCAGCCTTGCGTCCAGCCGCGATCAGAGTATATCCTGGTACACACGGATACACTGAAGTTGGTTCTATAAAATTAGGTCTCGGCAGCTAATCTTCGCTTCGTGAACTTCATGAGCAAACATTGTGCTGCTTTCCCGGCCAGGTTTTTTGGTTGAGGCAGAGCGCCTGTTCAAGGATTTGCCCGTCGAGGCCGTGCGAGTTCGAGTGGTCATGGAGGGCAGCACAGAGGGCTTGTTGCATTGTTCGGTGACGGGTAGCTAGCTGGCCAGCAGAGTTTTGCCTCCTCAAGCTACAGGTTCTTGCATTTTGTTCCGTGCTATGCAGACGCTGACCAAGCTCTATGCATCCTGCTCTTAGAACTGCTGACAGTTGTCGCTGGCATTTGCTGCAACATAGGCTCGTAGATAGACGGACAACTCATCATCTGCCTTCCAAAACGCCAAAACCTATGTGGAAGCCAGTGCCCGATGTTCGAATTGCATAAAAATCAGACTCAGATGTGAAAGTCTGGTTCCTGTGCTTGGGTTAGAGTCGGTTAGAGTGCCCCAAGTCGCCTGAGGCAGAGTTTGAATCACAACAAGACGAGAAGAACACATTGAACGGCAGAACAAGGCGTTCGAGTTTGAGCTTCTCGAAGTTGGCTGATTCCTGTTTGTGTTCGCCATGTTTGTTCTGTTCTCACTACTGACACTACTGCTCATTCACCTTGATCCTGCCTTGGTTCTTTTCCAACACTAAAAGCTTTCTCAACTCGTCTTCCTTGGACTCCCACTTTCCCGCTACTCTTACTACCACATGCTGCTTTACTCCGACCACTAGCTGCTAGTCACTAGCTATATCCCCAGTTGTCAACATTTGTAGCCACCGTTCCACTGCCGAAGCGCGAAGCTCCAGGTGACCAGGCAGATTACATCAGATGTCACCGTCGAGATGAAAGCTGGGTGCGCCGCGAGGGCATGAATTTGTAGGACTGCCCGCTTGCAGGGGACAAGGTCTAAGTAAGGTCAGCAAAATTTGCTGGAGCTTGAAACTGTTAGGTGGCTTTGTTGTCGGCGCATTCATTACACGCGATATTATGCTTTCTTGCAAGCGATGCCATGTCGGTGTGCTATGTTGATTCCGCAGAGGTTGAGGGCTCGGGAACGGGAGTATGCAGAAGTGCTGAGGACAGTTCGTGGGAGACCGCGGAAGCAGTGCTTTGACCTCACTTCCTGTGTTTGCCTGTAAATCGACGTCTCCCCTTGCCTTGACGGCATCGCAGGTACGAGCGTGCCTGCAAGCGAGCAATCGCGGACTACATTTTCAAGGAACCGCTCCATAAGCCAGAATTCCCTTCTCAGAGCATCACGAACTAGATCTGCATTCCGTCTC